GACGGCACCTGTACCCAGCATCATAAATCGCCGCAGTATCTACCCACCCACACACACACACAGACGGAGACACGGCTAACACACCCAGTTCACAAACCCAGGGAAACATGGAATGCTGAACGTGGCTGCAGGCTTTCTTCATAGCTTTCGTAACTGGTGCGCAGGAAGGCCAGCAGCATGGACACGGAGATGCCCTCGAAGGTAAGCCACCTGACGTGCTGGGGCTTTGCCGCAGTAAGACAGCTTAGAGGATAAGGGGACTCAGCAAGTTAGGCTACAAGTACCTTAACTGAAGCTATACATATTTAAAGTATAGTTACCTTATTGATAGGCCTAGTTGCTGCGTCCCAGATCCATGAAGCAGACTTGACCAGCTCCAGCAATCAAGGAAACATGAAGTCCCTAGCATCTGGAGCCCCAAACCCCAAACTCCTCGTCCTAGACACTAGTCACTAAGAGCTACTTAGAGGATCATGGGACTTAGCAAGTAGGTTATAATTGGGGTTATAAGTCCCCTAAGTGGGGTTATCCTAATTATAACCTACTTATAACCTTACTTACTAAGTCCCATGAGCCTTCAAGTACACCCCTGAAAAAGATGGGGTGCGGGGCGGGGGGCAGGGTCAAACGATTCAGCTTCACAGCTGTGCCTGAGCTTTTCAAGACACAGGAAGACATTGCCGTCTGGCTGACTCGCGATGGCTTCTAGTGCTTGCTATAGTAGGGACGCAATTACAATAGAGGCTTCGAGACTTTGTGGTATGCCCAAGGGTGCCTTACTTTTCTCAGCTCCCAAACCCTGACATGACAAGCCCTTCGCAAACCCCAGTGGAAGCACTTACAAACGTCGTAGACGACTGTACAAGTCTCTCGTGCTGAGGCACCTGGGAAATCCCACACACACCTTCAAAGCATAACGTCGAAGCAGGAAGGGTGTTTAAACCTCTTATCTCACCTTACGGATAGGGCTTATGGGCTTAGGGTATGAAGGGTGTCGGGTTTAAGGGTGTTGCAAAGGGCTTTTGCGCTTAGGGCTTCCCGTAAACCTTTCCCTCGAGTGTGGCACCCGCTCCCGCTTGAGGGCTCAGGAAACTCCAGCTCCGGCGCAGCCCTGAAACCATGGAAGGGTTCAGGGTTTAGGGTTATAGGGATTAGGGTTAATTATAGGGTTTAGGGTTATAGGGTTTGGGGTTTAAGCTCCGCAGTAGCGGCCTTAATAAGGAGCCACATAGATTTTCGGTTAAGGCTGTATATACGGTTTAAGGTTTAGGTTGTTCCTTTAGGGCGTTGTGTTCTGTTTGAGGGGGAGGGGGGGCGTTTAAGGCTTGAGCTTTGGGGTTCAAGATTTCGGGTCCAGGGCTGGGGGTTCAGGGTTCTCACTATAAACTTGTCTGTGTTGTTATGACTATGAACTCTGTTTATGCGCATTGTGGCTTGTATGCATATTCGGAGTTTCATCTGAAGTCATTCTCTTCTTGGTACTATTCGTAGTATTGATCGTACTATTTCTCTGGAGTGCCAGGCTAAGGGCTGTTAGGCAGTAGGGCTTGAGGGCTTTAGGGGTTCGGGCTAGGGATTTATAGTTTAGGGTCTAGGGCGTCTGGGGCTTGGGGCGCGTGAGACTAGATGTCGGAAACCTTGCGTATGAGAGCCGTCCTAGAGTATGGTCGCTCTTGGAGTCCACATCTGTCTTCCTGTCTTCCTAGTCCATGATTCTAATTATTGCTCCAATCCCTACGACTACCTTGACAATACATGCCAGCAATATCTCAGGCTGCAGCACACAGCTTGCTCTCGGAGGTACCGGACCATGGCTGATAATTTTGATCATCCCCCGCGAAGCAAAACGACAACCATGAAAACCGAGGGTGCGGCATGGGAGCCTTAACTGTTCGGAAAGCTTATACCCCGTTTCAGGGTGTCAGCGTCATGCAGTGGCAAGAGACAGGATTTACGTTCAGAAGTGCCCAGTTCACGACGGTTACAACGGAAAGCCTTTTCACCAATCTTACTTAGAGGATCATGGGACTTATTAAGTAGGTTATAATTGGGGTTATAAGTCGCCGAACTGGGGTTATCCTAATTATAACCTACTTATAACCTTCCTTACTAAGTCCCATGAGCCTTCAAGTATGCGAGCAGGCCCAACCTGCACTGCCCCAGAACCTTCACCACACCGGCTCCAAAAAAACACCAGGATACCCAGTAACCTAAGAATAAAAAGGCCTCTCTTTTTGGTATTGGGTCACTTTATAAGGAACCTAGGACTACAAAAAGGGAATAAGGGTACTACTGGGCATCCTAGAACACAAACCCGAAACTTGCAGAGCAGCCTTTGCTCCACTTCACCAAGCCTGCCTGTATTAATCTAGGGGCTAGAATAGGGTTTTGGGGCCATTACGTATGCTATAAGTATAACAAAGCACACCCGAAAATAGTGTAATAATGACGGCACTGTACTAAACAGTAAGGGGAATCAAGAACTAGAGTATCCCAAACCCAGAACCAGCCTCAGGACGTGTAGAGAAGAGGAAACCAGGACCTCGCTTGCTCGCTTCAGGGCGTAAAGGGGTCAGGGCTTCAGGAGGTCTCGGGGTCCAGGGTTTAGGGTGGGTACTGCACCCATACAGTAACAGGCTATAATGGGCATACTATTAAGGTCCTAATATGGCTATATTATGAATATTATCCAACTGTTACGGAGTGGGGGCAGTACCCAAGGTTTAGGTCTTTCGGATGTTTTAGGGTTCAGGGCTTTGGGGCCTTAGGCGCGTTTAGGCTTCTAGCGTTTAGAGTTTAGGGCTAAGGAGGAGGGTTTCTGCTTTGATGGGGCATTCAGGTTTTCGGAGCGAAGTGTAGGGTTCTGACTACAGTACTATTATTCGGGGATTGGTCTTGGGATTTGAGCTCCGCAAGCCTGACCTGCTTCTGAATCCCCGAAGCCCTAAACCCCAAGACTCTGAAACCATTTCGAACTCTTGTAGATCCGTTGAAACCACCCGTATAGATCCCTGAAACTGAAAGGAGCCCCTAAACCGTGGGTAACAATATCAAAGCCTTGTCTCCCGAATTCTTGGAAGAGGGCTTTGCTGATGTGCTGGAAGTGTATTAGTACAAGCTTACGGGGCTTGAGGGTGGAATTATTAGCGAATTTTGCACTGTTCGGTGAATGAGGGAGTAGGCAGTAGCATTTGACAGGGCTTGGGGGTACATTCAAGGTCAAGTTTATGGGGACGCAAAAGGCGTATGGTTACTAATCGTTGTTTAGAGATCTGTATTACTCTGCAGAAGCTTGCCTCTTTTTCTATCTTCTCGAGCCCAGACAGCTTAGGATTGCAGGAAAGCTGCCCTGCGATCCTAGCAGTCAGGACCCAGCATGAGCTCTTGTGGAGAGGCTCACCTGGAGCTGGAAACTCTCCGATGGCCGCTGACTATAGGGGGCTAAATAAATACCTAAGGGTTCCTTTCAGGGGTTCCTTTTAAAGGGGTCTATAAGGATTACTATAAGGGCGATTGTAGGTTTTTTGAGGGGGCTTAAATAATTACCAATACTATTTCGGGGGGCCCCAAAACCCTATTCTGACTATGAAGGCCACTATAGCACAAGGTCTAGGCCCTTTGTGGTTTAGGGCTTCGGGACTTGTTCACCAGTCTGAAAAGATCAATCAAGGATTCCAGCTCCCCGGACGTCTCCTCCTTCACCCGAATCGGCACATCCCACAGAGTCAAGGAAAATAGGCAGCCACAGCTTGTGCCGGGCTATGCCGCGCCTTCTTTTCAGGCGTTCAACTGCGCTGCCACCACAGCAAGGATGCGAAGGAACGTCTAAGTCAAGGACGAGTGACCAGGGCCCGCGTGAGATTTGTGCGTCTGTGTGGCCTTCGCATTCTTGCAGCAGAAGCACCGTTGCCTGAGAGGTAGCTGCCATGCACAACAGAACCGTAAATCGCCCCGACTTTCTGCAAGGAGCCTAGTTTGACTAAGCCGGCTAAAGCTCAACTCGGTGTAGAGTGCTGGCTGCCATCTCCCTGAGCTTCGGTGCAGTCGTCCATCTCGGAAAGCATGCAGTTTCAGTGTCATCTCTGACATTTTTGCCTTGACTCGTCGTGGAAATGCTGAAACGGCGCTTGCGTCTTCAAAGATGGCAGAGATGACACCGACATACGTAAAATTATATGCAGGCAATGGAAGTCTGGTTCGGCAAGCACCCGGCTTGCAATCAAGGCGGGTGCTACCTCGCGACTCACAATCACCAGGCCTTGTCGGAAGGTGCCAGTAGTCCATGGTAATTGTGCTTGTAGTGATTGGTCTTGATTGGTGGTGGCCAGTAGTAGTGGTACCGGTAACGGTAGTTGTAGTGGTCGTGGCAGCGGCAGGACTAGTAGGGATTAGTAGTGGCAGTAGTAGTGGTCTGGTAGTAGTAGTAGTAGTAGTAGTAGTAGTAGTAGTAGTAGTAGTAGTAGTAGTAGTAGTAGTAGTAGCAGTAGCAGTAGCAGTAGCAGTAGTAGTAGTAGTAGTAGTAGCAGCAGCAGTGGTAGCAGCAGCAGTAGTAGCACCATTAGCAGTAGCAGTAGCAGTCGCAGTCCCAGTCGCAGTAGGAGGAGGAGGAGGAGGAGTTGGAGTAGGAGTAGCAGTAGGGGTAGGAGTAGGTGTAGGTGTAGGAGTAGCAGCATTAGCAGTAGTAGCAGCAGTTGTTATTGCCGTAGTTGAGTAGTTGAGTAGAGGCAGTCGTAGTGGTTCGCTTGGTCGTGTTAGCGACAGCAGTACTGCTGAGTGTGCACGACACGGCAGGCTTCAATTTTCGCCAAGCGGGCGCAGTCGACCTATGTCACAGTCCCTGCCAGACTGCTGTATACTGTACATAAGAGGCAGGTGTCGGTCATTCTGCTTCCTAAAGCCCCTCAACCCCCTAATGTAGCGGCCTGAAAATTAGAATACATGTTTGCTCAAATTCAAAGTGTAGGGTAGCCTCATAATATGAGAGTATGGTGTTACAGGGGCTAAGTTTGGGCGCTGGCAAGCGGCAGCTTTTTTCTTCCCAGTTTTGGGGCGGTTGTTGCTGCTTCAGCCACCTGGATCATGGTCTCCACCATGTCAGCCTGGGTTAGGCAGTTTACGGTTTGGGGAACTGATTTAAGGGACAATACAGGGAATCTACAGCAAATAAGGTGGTTTACTTGTTATGGTAAGTGAAACTAGGTCCTTAACAAGAACCCAGCAGCAATCCGAGCATCGAGCATACCAAGATCCTGGAGATCTCGTGCTTTCAGGCTCTTTAGCTGCTCTGCGTGCTTCTTGCTCACATTTCCGCCTTCAGCCGAGTTCTTCCACTTCCGAATAGAGGCTTGGCCGAAGTTGCCCCTGCGGAACACCAGCACAATCCCTTCGTTTTCTCCGGCTGCAAGACTTTTCGCCATGCTCGAGACGAGTTTGGCATGGGTTGATTGCTGCGCGTCATCTGTGACATCGCAGCCTGCTTTAGTCAGCAGCTGCCTCAGGGCAGGGCAGAGAAGTAGTCGCAGTTTCTGGCCCTCTGCTGCGATGCTGTGTGCGAAGCCATGCTTCTCGAGCTTCTTCGACCATGCCAGGGTATCTCCCTTTTCCTGCGACTCGGGGAGCTTGACCACTGCTCCGAAACAGATCCACTTCTCAGCAAGCCCACGTGCCTATACTGAGCTTAGAACCCTAGCAAAAGTTATAATTGTAGCTGTTTCTTAGGGATTATAATGACCAAAACTGAAAATTATTTCTAAGTGCCCCTAAGGTGCAAGGTAATCGTAGTATCCAGGATTGCACATAAGTTCTCCCCAAACACAGACGGAACCTGCGGTGAGTTCTGCACCGAAGACCCGAGAAAGCTCTGCACGCACAAGCTCGATGTCGCACTTTTTGCATGCGGCGGTGCTGGTGTGGAGGTAGCTCTCGCAAGCTTTACCCACCTGGTGGCGGCGCCCAGAGAGATTGCCATTGTCCAGCTTTCCGAAGCACGTGCCATCAAACTTGACAGTGGCCGAACAGAGAGGCTCCTCCAGGAGAGTTCGTTCGAGCTCCCTCCTCATCATCTCCGTCTGCCCTGGTTCTGCCGAAAGGTAGTTTTCCTGTGCTTTTAAGTAACCAGGGAGGAAAAAATGTAACTTTTCATAACGGTTCCTTTACGAAAAAAGTATTAAAGTACGGTACTCCAAAGCCCAGTTTCGATTTGATCTGCAACCCAAACAGGGTAATGGTCGATGCTGGCCCATTCCAGCCCCGACTCGGTACCCCTCCCCTCTGCCTGGGCTGCCTTGACACCGCTTAGAGGGGCTCCCTTCTTCCAGAGACCGTAACTCTTGCCGACCATCTGCATCACAAACCTCCGGAGCTGTTCCTGGACTTTTAAGTATCCAGGGAGAAAAAGTATAAGTTTGATTTCATAATGGTTCCTTCAAAAAAGTATCAAAGTATGGTACTCCAGTACTCCAAAGCCCAGTATTTCGGCCCCTATAGTAAACCCCTATGATAGCCCTTATGGTATTCCTGATAGGCCCCTTTTTCAAGCAACCCCTAAAAGCCCCAAAACCTCCCAGTTAAGGGACCTATGAGGGTTCTATTGAGGTTTGGGGTTCCGTTAAGGGCTTCCTTTAACGGCTCCTATGAGGGACCTACGGTTGATGATATAAATCCTGCATTACCCATAATGCCGAATATACCATACTTCCCATAGTTTAGGGTTCTTAAGGTAATGCAGAATGCATATCATCCACCGTAGGACCCTAAACCCGCAACCCTAAACAGAAGCCCAGGTTCCTCTTGCGAAGGCATCATGCCGCCGGAGGGCAGGAAATCCCGGTCTTCGCCTTACCGGCGAAAGAAGGAAAAGTGGAGGAAGCGACACAAGGATTACTATAAGGGATTCTATGGGGACTACTATAAAGTAGGGGCCTTGATAATTAGAACAGGGTTTTGGGGCCCATGAGGCTATGGATATAGTAAGGAACCCACAAAATAGTATAGGTAATGGTGTAACCCCCCTGTATTAAGGATTACTTTGAAGGATTCTATGGGGACTACTATATAGGGATCATCCCCTCTCTCACTCTTCCTTCAGCACCAGTAAGTCACGTATCTCGCGCTGGAGCATCTCAGCCACTGCCTGCACCGTCATACCGTTAGCGAAGTAGGTGCTCAGACAGTCGAACTTCGTCAGTGCACTCCTGGGCTTTGTTAAAAAACTAGGATACCCAGTAACCTAAGAATAAAAAGGCCTCTCTTTTTGGTATTGGGTAACTTTATAAGGAACCTAGGACTACGAAAAAGGGAATAAGGGTACTACTGGGCATCCTAGCCCCGAATTTTCGGAAACCCTAAACCCTTTATAGAACCCTTATAGATCCCTTTAAGGAACCCTTATAGATCCCTAAGGGTACTACTGGGCATCCTAGTTAAAGTAAGGGTTCGGGGCTTCGGGGTTTAGGGTTCAAGGTACTCGCGGGTTCGTTTTAAAGTGAGTTTCCATAGTATCAAAGGGGAAAAGGAGGGACCCTTACTGGGGACCCCTAGGCATCTACCCTTAATATAGCCATTATATACCCACTATATAGCCCATTATATCCTAAACCCTAAACCCTCAATATAGCCCCTTATGGTAGTCCTTATAGACCCCTTTAAAGGAACCCTCTTCCCTGTGGGTAGGGGTCCCCATTAAGGGTCCCTCCTTTTCCCCTTTGATAGTAAGGACCTATAGCCACTGCTGTGCTATGGTTTTCTCTGTTATGATAGCTTTAGGGGCCCTTAACAAGAACCCAGGAAGCTCCTTTTCGAGTTTCTGCATTGCAGATCCCTGTTATCATTGGTTTTCGTAGGATACGATTGATGATAAATCCTGCGTGAGCTTAATGATCCTAGACTATGGGAATTAATTATGGTATATTCCTCATTATGGTAACGCAGGATTTTTTTCATCAGTCGTACCTCAGAGCAATTCCTTAACACGAGCAAGCGTGACTCCGCAGAACAAGCATCCCAGGCGACGGAGAGAGCAGCAAAGACTTGCAAGCGAGACAAGACCATGGAAAACCGAGGAACTATACCACATTCTTCGTATAGATCACTGTTATGAAAACGTCAAACGAATTCCTTAACAAGAACCCAGATTCGAAAGTGCATGGTTCAGGCTGCTTTGGAAATCACGAGGATCACCGACCTCCTTCTCACCGTCCCGCCGCCGCTTGCAGAAGCTGTTTCCCATGGCTTGCGCTTCAGGCTTTTTTTTTCTGGGGCATACGGTGCAGTATAGGGCTGCGCCGTGATGTGAACAGCACCTTTTTTTCAGGCTTGATCCAAGCGTTCCGCGTCCAAGCCAGTTCCCCCAACAGCCCAACACCATTCTTGTGGAGTACATGAATAACCTTAACTTGCAAAGGCCTTAATGCAAGATTCAGGGTCTGCTTTAAGCAAGCGGTGTTGGGCCCTCTGGCCCCCAAGCAGCACCGATACATGAACATGTTTGGACTGTCAAAGCCGTGCCAGCCCGTGCAGCCCGCCTTGTGTAGGCGCAAGTAAATGCACCCCACGCCCACTTGCTTATGTACCTTACTTGCAGGCCCCATAAGTGTGGTAGCTCCATTTAGAGTACTTATAACTCTACTTATCACCTACTTACTACGTCCAGAACTTGAAGCCCCCCCCCTTTACAATCGGCTGCAGTGTACACTGGGGTTTAAGGTTTTAGGACTTTGGGTTTAGGGTTTTTAGGGTTTACGGTTCTTGGTTTAGGGTTTATACACCGTAAACCGGAAAGAAAACGAAGCCGCTGCCACATTGCAGCGTGCTCGTGCTCAGGATTCTTCGCGGCTGGCCGCCACCAGGGCATCAGAAATCCAGCCTTAGACGGAAGCGAAAATTCCGTTGTTGGCAGAATCAAGATGTAGAGGCTCTTCAGGAGTTACTATACAGTTAGACGTTCTATCAGGCCTCCCTTTAAAGGCTCTATAATGGTTACTACAAGTTTTCTGCCCCCCAGATGCCTCCTCCAAGACCGACATCACTGCTCGGCTGCAGACGATCCTCGGTATCGTCGAGAGCCTTGGCTGGTCTAAGCCCCAAAACCTTGCATGAACAACCTTAAATGGAAATAACCCTTATGGCAACCCTCACCAAGCCCTTATAGCAACCCTTGTAGAAAAGCCCTAACTAAACCTTTGTAGAAGACTGATCATAACCCTTAAGTAGAACCCCCGAAATCCTAAACGCTAAACCCTTAATCCAGGTATCATATAACCCTTAAGATAATAAAAATAGTAAGAATAATATTAAGAATAATCATAAGAATAATAATAAGAAGAAGAATAATAATAAGAAGAAGAACAGTATTAAGAATACTGAGAAGAGTTACAATATATGAATTAATACTTATGATTGTAATTATAAGGAACCTAGGACTACAAAAAGGGAATAAGGGTACTACTGGGCATCCTAGCCCCGAATTTTCGGAAACCCTAAACCCTTTATAGAACCCTTATAGATCCCTTTAAGGAACCCTTATAGATCCCTAAGGGTACTACTGGGCATCCGACTTTCTGATTTCGGAGCCCTGGGCTTCACTACAGTGGGCTCGGCTTTCTGCTCTTTACTTGGAGGATCATGGCCCTAAACCCCCTAAACCCTAAACCCCTAAACTCAGGGACTAGGCCGCCCACCTTCGATGGTGGGCGGCGCTTACGCCCTTCGACATCGATGGCGCACGTCGATCCAGGACGCTCACCCGCCGTCCCACAGCCAGGGGTGCTGTGGCACCCACGTCAGGCCCGGTACCAGGACACGTTCTCCCGGACCAGTACTGGTCCCCATACAAGCAAATACCCGAAACCCCAAGCCCTACACCATGGAGGACCAAGCCATTTGGACCCCCCTCCAAAAAGGCAGCCCCCCGGGGGGGCTTGGGGCCTGCAACCAGACTCAGGGGGAGTTGCGATTTTTTGGCCTTTTACACTCCCCCTCACCTCCCTGGCCCTCCCTGGCCCCCCCTGACCACCCCTGGCCCCCCCTGGCCCCCCCCTGGCCCCCCCCTAGCCCCTGGCTCTCTGCCCTCCTCTGCCCTGCTTTTTTTGAGCAGAAGCTTGGCTGCAGAATTGTGTGGTTGTTGTTAACCAACATGGACCTAACAGAGTTTAGGTCCTAAACCCTAAAAGGTATAGGTTTGGGTGGTTTGCCGCCTCAGACGGCGTGGGGTGGGTGAGTTATGTGATGGCCCGCCACAGTCGGGCCATGTCTGCGATTCGCAGGCAACAAAACCGCTAATAAATCCTACAACCCCTGTTACACTACCGCTACGCAATCTTGCAGCAAACCCTAAACCCTAAACCCTAAACCCCTAAACCCTAAACCGGGACTTGCCCTAGTTGTAGAATCCAAGCTTTCTGGAAGCTCGAAGCTCGCAACCTGATCTTCGAAGTGTTTTTTCAGCGTTTAGGGTTTAGGGTTTAGGGATTTTGGGGGGATCTGAGGCTCTAAGGGTCATAGGGCTTAGGGATTCTACTTAAGGGTTATCCTAAGGCTTCTACATAGGTTTAGGGCTTCGTAAATTTAGGGTCAGGGTGAGTTCCAGGAATTCGGGGTCAAGGATTTAGATTTAGGTTTAGTTTTAGGGTTCAGGCTTGCTGTCTGTCGCTGTGCATTTCAAGTTAAGGGGCCGTCCGCCCACTCAACGCATCGAACGCCGCTGTTACCCAGTTGCCGGGTAAGTCGGCCGCGCTGTGGTTTTGCAAGGACCTGCGAGGCAAGGGAGATCTTTACCCAAAGAGCCAGCAAAATACACCGCAATTACACCTTCAGTGCCTGCACTGCCTATGAAATGGTATATTCCTGGAGGACGGTGTCTTGGGATCTCTGGGTATGCAGCCACGATGACCCAAGTAATATAGGGCGCTAATGGTTAGAATAGGGTTTCGGGCTCCTTCATCGAGAATTATAATAAGGAAAACCAAGGAATTAGAAGTCATTGTTTAGGATGCTATAGTAGCCGGCCCAGGATAAACAGAGTGGCATAAAGACTGCGATCCAAGAGCACGACCCGAATTCTCTCAAGACCCAGGTCGTGAAGAGAATAGTGTAATGTAGGGACCGTCATAATTGGAATAGCGTTTTGGGCTCCATTATACTTTAATTCTCATAAGGCCCCGCCCCCCCCCCCCCCCCCCCCAAATAGTTTAGGTCTTTATTCAGGCCCCTTTAGCAAGCCCTGGAGAACATCGTACTGGACCATGCCTGGCTGGCTTCACCCTCTGAGCAAGCGTGCCGAAAGCCTCCGCACCACGGACTTGCACTCGAAGAGAGGGAGCTGTACTTAAAGGATCATGGGACTTCGTA